GTCGGTCATGCGATCGAACATTACAGAAGACCACACAGCAAGTACGAACCATGGCTGATGTTATTCGTGTGCTTTAGCTTCTCTCAATTGTTAGCACTTTGTTTGGCCTACACAAATGGCGCCTCAACCAAAACTCCTATCCACGCCCCCTCCCGCGACGTCACGCTCAAAGCCCTATAAAATGAAGGGAGCAAACATAGGGGCTGTCTCGTACGTACTTGGCGTACTTGCGTTCACGTGTACTCGTGATACGTCATTAGTCGGAGACCAAGTACTGTTCCAAGAACGCGAAAAATTCCCGGATGTGTTCTCGATTCTCTTCGGAGGGTGTTTGAGTCTAAAGCTTCCAGCCACGCTAGTTTCCGACCCTCCTTCCGAGGCATAGCGTGCAGTGGGTATGGCGCTGGGCACGGACAGGCCTTTCGAAGTTGTTGATGCTCTAAGCAAAATATTTCTAACGCGTTTTTCAGTTTTCTTGAATTACTGTGGCAGCCGATAACAGCACACCTTGAACACGATATCATCCTCGAATAGGTAAAGCCGCTAATTACAGCACAAAGTAACCGAATGTGTTGTTAGCAACAAGTGAATGCTAGCTCTCGCTTTGAGTAACCGGAAGTATTAAAGTGAACGGCGGAAGTACTGAAATCTGTGGATTTAAGAAAGCCATTGCCAAAGTGAATAATGCGGAGGCCAATTAAAAATCTGACGGAGCCCACCAAAACTAAAGCTTTATTTATTCAAAACAAATGTAAATGTTCCCAAAGATACTTATTTCAAGCCACAGATTTGACTCACATGTCCTGAATGTGCAGAAAGTTTTGAACATAAGCAGAGACATATCCCAGACATAACCCCAGCTAGAAGTATCTCGCCTCCCTTACGGCTGTAAATGGACAGGATGTCATAAAAAGCTCCTGGAGGTGTAACGTGTTGGTGGTCTAATACTTCTGTTTCAAATTGTGCACGTGTACGTATAATCTAACGTCTTCAGAGTTCATCTTACGCCATAATGTACCAGAAATGGAAGTCAGGTTACTAAAAATGACTTTTCTGCTGCTTTCACAAACCTACTGTATACCCAGACCCTGCCCCTTGGGAGGCACTGCAGTTCATTACTAATTAATTAAACTTGATTTGTAATTGGTTGTTTAAATTCAAGGTACGGTCAAATAGTCAGTTTTCCAAGTGCTGCAACCAGCTGCTCTCTTACTGCATCACGTATTTGGAGTCAGTGCTTTAAATTTGCATGTAAATATGTGTCAGAAATGTGCAATTGACAAAACACCGTGTTATCACACAGAGCAAATCTGCATTGTGTTTTATTTCTTGTTAAGAAATGCTGATTGTATTTTTTAAAATAAAAGAATCTGTAAATGAAGTAATAACCGCATCGGTTCTGTTTATTCTGCTGTTTAGTTTAAGTACCCTTTTCAGTGTTCATTCATTATGGGTAAAGTGCGCCACCTTGTGTACAGTCATGTGCAGTTCTATTTGAAAATGAACATTAGAAGATTGTTTATGCTCATTGGATCGGGGTTGGGCTTTTTTAGTGATCGGTTAAACAAAACTGAAGTGTCTGTGTGGACCAAAATTTTTAGGTAGATCATTGACTGATGTGTACAGTTGCGAGGTACCAAATTATGTTTATTGGAAAGGGGAACTTTCGAACCATTTGCATTTGTGCTCAGGGGAAGGGGGAGACTGTCTTTGGTGCTGTTTGTGTGTTTACATTTTTGGCACTGTACAATAGAACCTCCAAGAAAAAGGACATTTTCACCAATCTGTAAACATTTTGATCTCATAATGCCAAATTAGGTCAGTGTTTTCCCTTTCCTGTTTCCATTTTTGCTCACTTGTCTTTGGAGTGAATTATGTTCCAATTCCTCCCTGAAGATTCGAATATTGTTATTTAGTTTATTATTAATTGATTATTCATTTTACTATATCACACAAATAAACTTAATTTTAACTCATTCAAACCGCTCATTCTTAATATACATAAACCCTGCCCTCACATACATGTACACAAGCACTCCCACTGTCACGAGAACTTATATTTCACGTTTTTCACTTTAACTTCCTTGCAAAGATGGGTTTTTTTTGTAAATTGCTATGTTAGTCAATTATATATTTTTTTGTTAAGATCAAATTCACTGGAATATAGACACAATATAGCACTTCATCACAACCTGGTAATGTGAAGCATCCATCACTCATTTGGTGTCCAGACATCAGAATGAATGAACTTAGTTCAGTCTCTCCCCATGCTCTTTATCCAGGTTGCCTGCAGTGGTTTTTGAAATCCTGCAGATGTCGCTCTTGAGCGGCACCAACACAGTGTCGACACAGCATGGGGAATGTGCCACAAACTCCACGAGGCGTCATCTACCCATCACTAACTGTTACTGTCATGTGGGGAACAACACAGAGATGAACGCAGTGCATTGACTCATTGTCACCGATACCCAATTTACATTCTGGACCAGTGTGTCCCAATCTTGTACAATAAGGCTAATTTGAGTTTTTGAACGCAAAACAGGCTCTTGACCTGCAACTCAGAGGAACACATTCAAAGCACATGAGTTCATGTATGTGCTTGATGGATTTCTATACTCTTTCCACCACTGAAAGCCAGAAATGAACAGCAGAATTATGCACATTCGGTCAGATTTTCTGTACATTTATGATTTATTTTCAGGTGGTTTTCTACATGCATGTGCCTATAGAGACACTGTGGATGTGTACGAGGATGAGTAATAAGCACTTAACTGCAGTTAATAAAAGTATAAGGAGTTTATAACAAAAACAAAATGCCTGAAAAACTAAATCAAAAACTGATTAAACAGGTTGTGTTTGATAGTAGTAAAGAAAATTGGCTCCATCTGGATGAAATGACCTGGAGGAGGGTGACGGACCTAATGGTACAGTGGGATGTTGCGGAGCACCCTGGAGTCATGCACTGACCCAGGAGGCAAAACCAGGCCAGCCCACATATGTATCCACGAAGCAGCCCTGATGGTCACAAACTGCCCGCAGGATTATGGAGGGGAACAATTTCCTGTTCCTGTAGCACTGACCATCAGGGCCACTGGGAGGCTTGATGCAGACATGGCAGCCGTCAATTGCACCAGCAGCTTTCAAAAAGACTCTGTGTCTTGCCAGCCCTGCTAACCCATGAGACACGACATCTAGTTCTTCAGGTGTCCGAGGGAGGCGGATGACCCGATGACGAACAGCATACCACCCCCGTCTATGACCCTGTGGATGATGCAGTGAACAGTGTAATGAGCTATTGCAAACACTCTGGAAACAACTCTGTAGGACGCTCCACATGTCAGTCAGAAAAGAAAAACAAGACCTCAATTGTGGCACCCCAACCATGTGTCCCATCCTGGTTAATCAGATTCAGCAACACTTTTAGAGACTCCCTGCTCAGGCGAAAATCAGGTCTAGTGTCCTCATTATTAAAAAAATCTGTCCAGGACTGGGACACTCAGTTTAATCCTGCAGTACAGTGGTCCGGCCTGTTGAAGGAAAAAGTGGAAAATAACAGAAATTGTTTTATTCTTGTCATCATTATGAATGTTGCTGTTCTGGTTCTTTAAAAAAAGATTTTATGTGTAAATCATTATTTTGATTATTACAGTTGGGAACAGCAGGTGATGCAAATCTGAAGGCTAGACCGTCCCATGTACCTCTCACTTTTGGCATTCGTGTTATTGGCAGTCTTAGAAGGCCTATGAATTGGGACTCAGCTAATGTATGTCTGCAAATACTAACTAATCCTTCCTATCTGTTTCAATATGTACGCAATTATAAATGGTAAATGGCCTGTATTTGTACAGGTGGAAGTAAAGGTGGAAGTAAAACATAAATTAAGAGATCGGGACTTTTATTAGAGTCTTAAACTATTCCTTTCTACCTGTACAGTTGTTGAAAGATCCTGTCAGTTTATGTAACAGCCTTCAGCTGTTTTAGCTAACTGGCACTCACAGCTAACTTCAAAAAATAAATCATGTTGAACCTAAAATTACCATCATAAAAATAAGTCATCAGAATATTCCACATTTATCTAGTAACCGCAGGAGTTAGAAAAAGATAGCAACTTTTTCTACATGCATACATTTATTGGTGGAGTGTGTGTAAATGTTAATTAAAAGTGCTCTGGTATAGGTAGTTGATGGAGACTTATTATAGTAAGTGATAGTAAGTGTATGACTGATAATTGAACAGAAATAAGTATGTTTAAATTAAAATAAAAATAAAAAGTAGTCACTTAGTAGTCACTCTCCAAAAAAATAAAACACACACACACACAGTGTACTGAGCATTTTGCTTTATTGCAATCCTTTTTGGGTTGGAACACACTTCTGACTTTAGCTTTCTTCCGGCGTTCTGAAGGAAAAACCTCCCATCCTCTCCACTCCAGCTTCACTAAAAGCAGTAGAGAGCTTCTCAGTGCCATCACCACCACCTGTTCTCTCACCTGCCTGGCACCGCCTCTTAAACTCACGGACACCCCTTCTCTGCAGCTGAGCCAGGGGCCACACATCTGTCACATTTTATGAAATGAAATTTTTTTTTAACCTCAAACATGCATTGTGAACATTTTTTTTAACCTTTTTGTATTGTTTTTGTGACCCATCTTTTTTTATTTGTAGCCAACAACACATTTAAACAGCATAAGTTGACCCAAAGTGCTTCAGAGACAGGCACATTTACATTTCGGGTTTTACAACAAACAAACAAAACAACAACAAACCCAGTTTCAAAATACACGAAAAGCTGACAGGTGCGTTTTGTTGTGTTAACTATTAATTGTGGGGAAAAATAAACTAGTGATTTTGTGGTCACTAAGTGTGTTTAAAGCTTGCAAACTGATGATGATTCATCTCATAAATCATGACACACTGCTCTCTCTATATAAGCTATAAAGGTTACAAATATCAGTAGTTGTTGGTATCGGCATTTTAAAAAATGTGCAATCAGGCACGGCATCGCTTAAGGCGGCAACGAACGCGGAAGTGTCGGTGAGTGAGTGCTCTCGCTCCAGCTCGACTCTCTGTCGGGGACACTACAGGGCGTATCCGCTCTCTGAGAATCAGGAAACACGTTGATATTCGCTGCAACTCTCCGCTTTATTTTGATCAGTGTAATCGCTCCGTAGTGCTGACCGTCAGCGGCTGCCTAGAACATCGACACCGACACCAGCCTGCTGGATATCAGCCCAGCGATGAGCAACACGACCGCTTCTGACGGTTGGTTTCTGAGCTTTCTATAACTTGTGTGGGGATGAAACCGTGTTTCACCGCTGCAGTTCATGGTATATGGTACATATATTGCGAAAAGACCTCTGTAGTTTTCCATGTCGTGACATTGATGTCAGCCTTCCTGGAAAACGAACTTGTTAAGCCCGCGTGTAAAGTTTCAGGAGGATATTGCGCACCTACATCAGATGCGCTGCAGGGCAGAGGAAAAGGAAAAGCTAGTAGAGTCTCGTTAGAGGCTTTGGGAAAACTATTGCTTTTGAATAATCAGACACACCTTATTAAGCTTTATTTAGTTATAATGACTTACATGCTGTCCCATTGTCACAGAAAGACTGTTAAACTTTGGGTTTGAGCGATTGAAATATGTTTTTGCAGGTTTGTGGTATTTCGGCATCATTACGGCGCTTGCAAAGTTAACGTGTTATGTTAAGTTAACTCTTTGTATTACTTGACTATTCTGCTTTTTAATATAATAGCTCTTTCAAGATGTAAGGGGGCGATCGTGGCTCAAGAGTTCGTCTTGTAATTGGAAGGTTGCCGGTTCGAGCCCCGGCTCCGACAGTCTCGGTCCTTGGGCAAGACACTTCACCCGCTGCCTACTGGTGGTGGTCAGAGGGCCCGGTGGCGCCAGTATCCGGCAGCCTCTGTCAGTGCGCCCCAGGGCGGCTGTGGCTACAATGTAGCTTGCCATCACCAGTGTGTGAATGTGTGGATGATTGTGCATAGTGTAAAGCTTTGGAGTCCTTAGGACCAAGTAAAGCGCTATACATTTACCATTTAAATGTACTCACTGTTTGTCCTGCTGCAGATTTTCCATCACAAAACTCAAAGCTGACTGAATAACCTGTAAGATTAAACTGAGTGTGCAGTTGAATATTTGCTCATCAGATAAGGACTCTTCAAGCTATGTTAATAACGGTTTCACAATGTCAGATCACGCTTTACTGCTTCCCGTGAGAAAATGTTTATTTATTTCTTCTTCTGGTATAAAACAGAAAAGCACGAGTTTTGTGGTTTACTGTAATAATCAGCAGATTAAGAAATATTAACCATAAATGTCAGCTGCTTCTGCAAAAGTGCATCAAGTTTAATTTTATGTCAGAATGTCTGTGCCTAAATGTGTGAAGGTTGCTTTAAAAGCTCAAAAGCAGAGCCAGGCTCACCCTGGATGTTTGAGGGCTGAGATCAACACTGAACTGCCATCAGTGCGACGCCGTCACATCTAAATAAACCGAAGCAATTATTGTTGGATTATTTTCTGTAAAAACAAAAATATTCGGGGCAAATATAAATCATTGCTGCAAAAGGGATGGGTGCTTTCAGAGTTTCTAAGCAGCATATAAAGACATTACATTCGCTTAAATAATTTGCACGTAGTAAAATGTTTGTGCATGTTGGCAATATTTCCCCTCTGTGTTGTGATCAGTGTTGGAGTCATTACTACACAAAATGCTTTTTCTTTTTAAAAAATAGCGCAGTACCTTACTTAATTTCTCCCAGGACAAAGTCTATAAATGTATTACTCCTTAGATTACTTTCATGTTTCGCCATAAAATAACCTGAAAAGCATTATGCACAATTACCACTAACATAAATCCCTATGCTAACGAGGACACACTCTTTCTCTTAGTACTTAGGTATGAGCACAAAGCCGACAACAAAAAGGAAAAATGAAAACGAGCACAGAGACTTCAAAGTGATCTCCATGGTGATTCTACCTTAGAAACATAGACGGGTAGAAATAGATGCCTGACTGCTCATCAGTTTGTTACCTGTTGAAGTTCATGGTCTGGCTGCTGGGCAGCGGTCGGCTTTTACTCGACTTTCGCTCTGGGTTTTTGGCTAGCTTAGCATTAGCATGCTATCTGTGCAAGGTGCTTGCAAAGAGCTGATTTTGTATTAACAGCATAATGCAGCTGTTTCTGTCTTAGATGTTTGCACTATACAATTACTCTGTCCTCCTTTTATGCAACAAAATATAAATGTCCATATGCACGCTGCAGACTGTGCCCCGATTTTCCTCGAATCAATAGGCAGGCAAACTTACAATTCCAAGGAACTGAGCTACTGGAATCAGAATCAGAAAGGGTTTTATTGCCAAATGTTGAGCAGGTTTACAACATTAGGAAATTGCTGTGGTGCTTAGTGCAAACGTACTGTCATAAACGCTTAAATAGATATAAAAATAAGAATAAGAATTAAAAGTACTAAGTAGATAGAAATTGGCTCTCTGTAAGAACTGGTTCTCAGTTCCCATCTCTACCCGTAATATTGGGCAACATAGGAAGACATCTCATTTGGTTAACCAAAGCTGTTTAGAAAAATTGGTAATAGTTCATTAAACAAAATAAAAAAAAAAATAGATTGATAAATACCCTTCTACCTGTGGGAAATTTCAGTGTTTGGGTTTGTGCCCATGACTGAGATGGTTACCACGCCTTCCAGAAAGACCAGAAAGTCCAGGTGGGAGCTTTGCAGCAAGCAGGAGTGCTTAGTTAGTAGGTTGCCCCTAGATCAATGTGCAGCTGCTTCTCTGAACTTTATCCGAATTTGTTAGCATGTACCAATAATCTGTGCTTTTAAAATGGATCTCTGTTGTTATATGCTTGCTGACTTCACCCCTCTGAAGTTGCCTTACATAAGTGTGGCGCTGACCGCCTGATTGAAGCTTTGTTCGGGCTTGCAGTCACAGCCACAAGGAGGGTTCAGTTACAGTAGACAGTTTTTATTCTTTTTGTTCCACATCATTTATAGTTTTTGACGTTAGATGAAAACACACAAAACGGCACAAAACCCTGATACAAATCAGATGTGCTGTTCACTATCCTCCAACACTGTGTACAACCATGAAGCTCCTTATTTACAGTGTCAGAGACTAGATGTGAGTAGGAAGAAAACAGCTGATCTGTCTTACATAAACCTTTATGTATAATCTTTAAAATATTGACTGTTTGACTGCAACAGCTTCTGAGGCATTTCCTTAGACCGATAATGAGCTTGGGTTTTTGTTTTTGTCACTTTATGTCTTCACAATCTGATCTGTGCATTTCATTATGCTGACTCTGATAGTATTCTGTTTTTATATGAGGATCGATGGAGATAAATAACTTATAAGCAGTGATTATTGCGATGCCTGTTGAACGACAGAGTACTGTAGTGTCAGTCTCGCTCATTTAGTTCCAGCCGATGTCTTCATAACCTTTAAAAAGTGGGGACTATTTCCATCTTTCCATGAGAGGTCTGTGGCTTGAAGAAGGCCAACGCTCATTCAATTAGACCCACTCATCCAGTCCCTTAGTTTGGAGACAGGAAAACACTCGTATCACATGTGTTTGTTTATGTGTGAGTGTGCAGTAATCCTTTCCTAATTACCAGGCAGAATGTAAACTCACTCCAGTTTCAGCTGGATACTCAGGCAGTCACTGGTGTGTGAGTCTGAGAGTGGTTCCCAGTTTAGTCGAGCAAACTCCCCCAAAGCGATTCAAAGAAAAGAAAAGTTTGTCACAAAAGCTAGAAGTAAAAAATGAAACTGGACTTTTTTTTAGGTTTTTGAAGATGTTTCACCTCTCACCCAAGAGGTTTCTTTATTTCTTTTTTTTTTCTTTAACTGAACTTGATTTAATTAATCATTTGTGTCCTCACATGAGACAGGGTGTGCAAACAAAAGCGTGGGTAATCACCACCAGAGGTTTGGAGTGAAACCATTGTGACACCTTGCTCCACCCTATCACGTGACCTATTGAGGTCACCTGAAGTAAAGTGTTAGTGAGGGTTGAAGGGCCTGGGAAGGAGCCTCAACGCTGCACTGTAGGAGGACATAGATTGCCTTCTTTACTCCTCTTTCACACCGTTGGTCTTCTCGGGCTAAAATGTGAACACTGGCAAACTCAAACGTGTGACCTTTACCCTCTAGGTGCAGGTGTACAGTGTTGAGTACACCTGAGAGTTGAGTGTTGTCCTGACGAGGGGGCTCTTCTCGCTGTCAGCCACAGAGTTTAAACGACCTCCTAGTGATCTTTCAAGTTAAAAGTGACTTATAAGTTGTACTACATACATAGCTGGTCTCTAGCCACGTACATCAGAGAAGATTACCCCCCCCCACACACACACACACACACACAAATGTCACCACCTGGATTTAACTAAGCAAATACTTAAACCCTTCCACTGGTTTGGAGGTCTAAGTTTGGGTAATGTTATGTTGTTGTGTGCTTGAAAAATGTGGTCAGCTGACTGCCTGAATATACTGAATGACCAAGTTTTTCCGTCAGCCATATTATTCCAAGATGTAATTGCCGGGATTCATCAGGCTTAAATTGTGAAAGAGTGGCTCAGGGACATTGAGGCAACCCTCCAGTGTATTTATCGTCTCTTCACATGTCAACGAAGAGCATCCTTCAATCCAGCTGGGTAAGCTTGAGCCAAGATGTTGGAAAGAGTGACTTTTGGTCAGCTAGAAGCTTCTTTTTTTTAAACACTTTGGTGTCAAGGAGTTAGGTGAGGAACAACAAATGCATTTTTTGTGTGTTAAACATTGGGAACTGGTTAAACTTTTTAAAAGTTCAGACTAAGCGGCTCAAATTGTTAACCGCGTCCGCAGCTCACCTTAAAGCTTGACTCTACCTGGCTGCTTTACATTGTTGAAGTTCATCAATGCAAGTTGCTAAATTTCATTATCATCTGTCGCTGTCTGGTTGCCACATCGCAGCTCGTCACTTCCTGTGTGGACAGTCATGCATTTTCCTGAGTATGTGGAAATGAGAAGCCACAGTGAACAGAACTGCATCGCATTCAGTTGAAAACCTATTTCCCGTAACTTATCCGAGGGATACATAAAGTTCTGTCTCTTTAATTTCCTGAACAGTAGCAGTACTGTGCTCTTTCTTTATTTTGCTGGGAAAATGGGAAATAGTTTCCACATTTGTTAAAACTTGTACAAACATACATGGTAGGGCTGTGCGATATGACCAAAATCTCATATCCACATA